GCAAGCAAATACGGTTCTTGTCAGCATCTGCCCCTGGTTTGTCAGCCCCGTGCTTCACCTCAGACCTTTCCTCTACTGCTGACGCTGAGCACAGGGCTCCCCGCAGGGCTCAGTGAGCGCCGAGCCCAGGCCAGGTAGGACTTCAGCCTGAGCTGCAGCTGAAAGGTCACGGCATCACCACACCAGCCATCACACAGAGCGGGCAGAGGAGCAACCGTGCAGAGCTGCTTATGGCGTCCCAGCAGCTTCGTTTCTCTGTGTAGCCACCGAAGAGGAGTTGCGGCATGATGTTTAGGAGGGCCTTGCAGGGACAGGCTTTGAGCAGGTCACACAGCAAGCCATCTAGCAGTCACTCTGAGCCTGACACAGATTTCTTCTGACATTCACTGAGCACCAGAAGGACAGGAGCCAAAGTTGGTCCCAGCTGGTGAAGTCATGGAAGCATCCAAAACATCTTCTTTTCATCAATCCATTGAATCCCTTTTCATCATCTGTTGGTGACAACCTCCTTCTGCCTCTGCAGCGAGAGGCACTCACTAAAGGAACAGGCACCACCAAGGCCCAAAGGTGGCCTGTCCCCACGGCAGGAGTCAACACCTCAACCTTGATTCCAGGCTGGTCCACGCAGCTCACTATGGCAGCTCTCCTTCTCGTATTATGAGTTTACTAGAGATGCTGCAGCAGTTACTCCAAGCCATTCCCGGAGTAACATTAACCAAACTGTGTATTACAGCAAAAAAAAAAACGGATTGATGAGATGGATTTGTCCCCACAAACACACCAGCAGCCACACTAGAGCCAATGCAGCAATGAACGGTGCAGGCAAAGCAATAGCAGTCCTGGGGGAAGAATGTTTCCTGGGTAAGCCCTTCAAGCAGATTTGGGAAGAAGAATCTGCAGTGCAGGACCTCTGGTCAGCAGACCTCCACAAGAAGCTGCAATATTGGCAGCTCTGCTGCCTGTCACAGAAATCTCACATCTGTCACTCACAAATCCTCTTTTATTTCATTATTAGAGTCAAAATGCAACAGGGAACTCCTGAGCCCATCCACCTGTCTACACTCAAACAGCCAGAGACCAAAGTTAATGTTCTTCAAGGCAGGCATGTGCGTCCACACTGGCCAAACACAGCCGTTCCTGAGATTGACCTGCATTTTAAGCTAAAAAAACCTTAGTTTAAGATTTCAGTTAGCAGAGCACAGCAGCTGTAGCCTCATGGCTTGGGCAGCCTGGGTTCCTGGAGCCAGATTACGTATGATGGGATGGGAGAAGCCTCTGGCTGTGCCGCTGCCGTCATCTGTGGGCAAGTGGCGAGGAGCAGGGCAGGCAGCTGCCGGCAAACCAGGAATAGCATCTCTTCATAGAGATATGACAGCGTCCATCTCACCCTTCTGCTGCGGGGAGAGGGTTTGCTAAAACCTGCCGTGCAAAGGCTTCACCCCTCAACTCTGCTTTTGTGCACGTGTAGTGCGTACGTCCACGTGTACCTCAGCGTGCACATAGAGGAAGTTTAACAGGCACGTGCCTGTTTCTGCAGAGCGCAGTGCGGACAGCGGTCCCCAGTCACACAAGCATCCTCCTGGCAAATACGTACTTGGCTACACATAACACTAACACATCAGCATCTCCAGCGACTGTTTCTCTCCCAGAAGGAGCTCTAGAGAATACAGCAACAGAAACATTAATGTTTGCTGACTCAAGGGCTCCACCAGGAGGAAAACCAGCCCGGATCAACCCCTCGGAAGGGCTGGAAGGAAGGCTGGGGAGTAGCGACTGGCAGGGAGGCCAGACTTGCTGTTTGGTTCAAAGTCAAGGACAAGGAACGCGGCAGAATTGGGCTAGCGCAGTGTCGGCTGGCCAGGGGCTGGCCGCGGCTCCGGGTGAGCTGCCACGCGCACGGCGCCCTCATCTGCTCCAAAAATCTTACTAATCCAGCAACACAGCCTCCAGGCTGCCAAGAAACACTAAGAAGGAGCTTGCTAATTGCCCTGTCTTCACCCACTTTCTTTTCTTTCCCAGCAAGGGCTGGGAACAGTCACCGACCTCCTGCACTCCGCAGCGGTGTCACGATCAGAGAGCAGGGCTGGGAGCATGCTGTCTGCTTGTGGCTATTGTTAATCAAGTCATGGGGTTTGCTAGGACCCCCGTGTCTGCCTGAATGAGAGCAACAGGAGCTACAGAAGCCATTTTGGATGTTAAAGGGTGGGACTCTACCCATGAGCTTCAGCTCCCCTTGCAGCCCCCCAAGACAGGTTTCTGCTCACTTGACCATTGCAGATATGCCCTTCACCATGAGATGAGCCCCTCCAGAAGCACCTTCTCCATCCCACTGACTATAACGGGAGTCATGTACCAACCCAGAGCATGCAGACTACATATTGAAGGGATGCATCGCAACTTCTCTCCCACACACACCCCCATCAGGCTTTTTTAAGCGTGATGACCACAGCGCGAGATGTGCAGAACCAGACCCAGCTTCTCTACCAGAGCCCTCAGAGGCACACGGTTTCTGCCCAAGACCTAGCACTGGTGGGAGAGGAAAGGAATTTGTGCCTTTCATGCCTGTCTCAAGGAGGCACAAAGGGGCAGCAGAGACAAGACTTTTGACTTGACACCCCCGAGGGCGCAGATGATATCAGGTGTGAACCTCTGCCAGCCCAGCCCCAGCTGCTCAGTGCTTGGCTGCAGGCAGGCCTGGCTGGTCCCAGCTCAGGGGGCTGAACCCCACGCTGCTATGCCCAGCCTGACCCCCAGGTACCACCCACCAAAACTACATTTCTGGAGTGTTTCTCCCTGAGCCAGAAAATTCCAGAAAAAAATATCTGTTTGCTCCCTAGACTGCAAACCCCATTCCTGGGAACAAGAAAGAGCAAGCTGAGCGCTCATAAAGTGCAAGACAGCGTATGGAGCACTCGTAGCTCTCTCCCACAACCCCAAAGCTGTGAACACCAACTTACGCCAGCACAGCCCAGTTTCATCGTTTTGAATTTCACAAGACAGCACATAACTAGCAAACAAAGGCATGCTCCTCCCCATATTCAAGTTTTATTGAAACTACACATGTATTTTGCATACAAATGGAGTGGGGGCTGTTGTACCAGACTTTGGTATCTCACACATTTACAGAACCTGAGCACTTAGCAGTTTCATATTTGAATATTCTGTACACTCTCATCTTAATTCACAACACTCAAAACAAATGCTTTTTAGTACTTCTAGTGACATAAAAATAGGCTCCATTCCTCCAACAACAGACCCATTTACAACATTTTCTCTTTCTCCCCCATCAACACAGTATTTCCAAAAGGCGTCAGATTTTCTCTCTGAGTCCATAGTTCTCCTGAAGTTGCAGGATGTTAGTGAAGGACATCAGTTCCAGGTTTTCTCTGTATTCTCCAGGTCCCCCTCTGCCCTTCTCAAGTATCTTATGTCAAACGATGCAGGCTCTTCTCTAGGAAAAAAAAAGCTGTCCTGTTTCCATGCTCATTACACACTCATCATCTTAACACCAAGCGCAAAACAAACCAGTCAGTTTTGCTGCTTATTTTTACACCAGGGACAGTTGTTCACTAGGAACTACACTAAGGCAGCAGACCTGTTTCATGGAACTCAGGTACCCAAGGCTGTGGCCGATCTGGGCTGGCAGGGAAATAACACCTTTACCATCCCATCACTGATAACCTGTCAGCTCATGTCAGGCCAGGCATATCAAAAGCAGCACAAGATGTTTGCAACAATAAGAAAGATTTATAAAAGCTCTTACACAAATAGCTGAACATTATGAATAAATGCTTGGGTTTAATAAACCCTTTGGCTAGCTCATGTACAATCACTCCACCTTTGAAAAAAATGAGCATATGTATTTGCAAATAGTCCATCTACAACTGAATAGTAGCCCTTCCGTCCCAAGTACCACTGCAGTATGTTAGCTATTCTTCAATTGCTCTATTCTCTGCATGTGACAGAAATTAAAACAAGTTTTCAAGCACACACTGGAACACACCAAAAACCAAATAGTCCTTCGTAAGGTGATGATAATCCATACTACTCCAAGTTTTGGTTTTGAAAGGTTTAATACCTTCCTCCAGAAGCTCTTCTGTGACAACAGTTTCAATGGTTCACATCAAACACACAACTTGAAGTACCTTCATACATTACTGTGCTTCCTTACAGCCCAAGTAGTACGTTTGTAACACCCTCCAGGGATAATCCCTTGGAATGATATGCCTTCTCACCCCACCAATGCACAGGTGAAACCAAGAAGGGGAGAACAGCAAATCACCCAGCGTGACAGAGGGAAGACAGGAAACACCCAGAGCTGGCTGTTCCAATGCCAGATGCCGACTGCAACTCAGCACAACTACACACTGCTTAATAAGGCACTTGTTCAGAGAAGCAGGGGAAAACAGGCAGCACAAGCCAAAGAACTACAGGATGTGGGTTTTCTCCACTATTAACAGGCTTGCCTTTTGAAGAACCATTCAAAGTCCACCGACCTGCTCATAACAGCTGTAAGACAAAAATCGTACGTATTTCAACTCCTACCAACAGCCATCAGGTTTGCAACCAGAGTAAAAACGTTTTCAGACAGAACCCAGGCTAACGGGGAGATCAAGCCGTATCCCTGGGTTTAATAAGATTTTATACTTCATACTTTATTAATATCTTCCCACATTCACTTATTACTCTACCTGCAGCAAGAAGAAAGGGAAGATCTTTTACTCTAGACCAAATCTATAAACATGAAAATAGAAACCATGAAAATAATTTATAGGAACATATATACATAAGAGCGACACCTCATCTGGTTTTCAGATTAAGATACCATAACATGAGGTAAATACGCAGTTTGCTTTCTTAAAACACTACCAAAGTCTTAAAAAAGTAGTAGCATTCCAGTCATTTTTAAAGACAGCAATCACAGCACATGAGTCAAGGGAATCTTAAAAAGGCCATCCTTTTTAAAAAGCCATAGAAATTTTTTAAAAAGAAACCCCCGCTTTGTTTTTAAATGACACAGACAGAAATATATTTACTCCTCAGACAAACAACATGAAAACCCAGGAAAAAAATCCCAGTAGACTCCACTTCCAGGACAGGAAATGAAGAGAACTTCACAGCAGAGAGCGAGACAGGGAGAGGGAAACAGTCACCATTTTGTTTGCCAAGTTATCAAAAATCTGCATCCAAAGTGAAGACATTGTCCATTGTTTCTGCCATAACAGCAAAACGTTGATATTCCGAAACCCGCTTCTCAAAGAAATTTGTTTTTCCTTCCAGAGAGATATTCTCCATGAAATCAAAAGGATTTTCTGCATGAAAGACCTGGGAAAGGGAAACATTATTACACTGGTGGTTCTGATAGGATAAAAATGCTTTAAAAAAACCCAACAAACAAAACAGTCAAACCCTTTCAAACCAGATCATCCCTTGCTGTAATATGCTGTAGAATCTAGGGACACCTATCTAAGCAAATTCAGTACCGTCACTCCCCAGGAGTTTGGTCCATGGTGAAGTTCACCCATGCAAGGTGCCTATTATCCTTCAAGGACTGCAGCACCTGAGTACAGCATAAGTTTCTCATTACAAACCAGCAGAGCAGCTGAAGGGAAACAATGGCCTAAATTGTTCTTGCTCTTTTAAACAGTGAAGCATATATATTAATGCTGTGGTTTTGGCTGTCACTCACAGCAAGTGCAAGCGCTCAATCTGACCTGCTCCCAGGCATGTTAAGAGAGCGCTCTGTGCTGACAGCTGTCCTGGGCTGTCCTGGCAGGCCAGCGTTTCGGACAATTGCACCTCTTACCTTCGCGAACCCAAGCTCCATCAGTAACCGGTCTGCGACAAATTCAATATATTGCTTCATCAAAGTGCAATTCATTCCAATCAGACCTACAGGTAACGCCTCTGTTAGAAACTCCTAGAAATTAAAATATAGATGACATTTAGAAAAATAAAATTTAAGAAGGGAAAAGGAGAGAAAACACCTGTGCTCTGTATAACACAATTTGTGATATTCCAGGCTCCCCAGGCAGTCCTCTGAATAAATAACTTGCATCACTAAACTCAACAAGTGTCTGCTGTTTTCAGTAGTTGTTTGTATCTTCCTTTATTTTTAGCATGTTTTTCTGGAAAAGGCACAAGAATTTTTATTACTGTCCCTCTGATCTGCCTTTCCCCACCCCCCCATAAGACTCCAAGCTTCAGTGTAAGCTTGAACTCCAAGTTCAAGAAAACCTACAGACCATACTAGCGAGAGCAGGAATAGATCCAGAAATCTCCAGTTTTCATTGGCTTCCAACCATTATAGAACAACAGATGGGAGAGGATAGTGATATATATGAGTGCTGAACCCAGCCACGTGTATGTTTAGGCATCGATGCAATACCTGTCAGTATTGTGAGGCGAAGCTGGGGCATTCATCATCATCACAGTAGTTAGATGACAAGAGAAAAGAAAGAACAAACTACAATCCTGCCAACACTCAGCAGTGCAGGAACTTGTCGTTGCAGACAGGCAGCACTTCATGTGAAAGAAGCCGACAGCAACCTCAGAAAAAGGCAGAACCTAGCATGGTACACGTGGCCAGAACAGACCCTGTCTTCTGAGGACAAGCAGGGCTGTGTATACAGTAGGGAGAGACAAAGATCCTGAAAGGACAGAGGTAAACAAACTCTTCTCTAACAGACAGTTCCAGTTGGACTAGATGATTGCTGTAGGTCCCTTCCAACTGCAACTATTCTATTCTATACTAAGACAGGCCGCCTTTCTTCCTTTCTGTCATTAAGGAGGAAACCAGCTGATAGCTTTAGCTTCTCCCAGTTGCTCAACAAGTGAATCAGAAAGCCTCTCACTTTTATTGTCATCAAGGAGGAAGGAAAGGATGGTATAACGCATCAGGGATCCATGCCTGAGCCAAGTATCAAACATGGAAGCCCCAAAGTTAGAGGTTAATTTGATCATTATTGCACATAAACTGGTCCTGTGCTGCCCACGATGCTGTCACGGCCAGGCTTACCTGCTCAATTTCAACAGCATTAACAATGATCTCACGGACCCGCTCTTCTGATGGTCTGTTCACTAAATAATGGAACATTAGACAAGCAAAATCACAGTGTAGACCCTGAAACAACAGAGAACAATGAAAAAAAAGTCAGGTTTTCCCTTCTCCACATAGTTTGCTCTTACCTGAATGAGGCAGCCTCATTCAGGTTGAAGCTTCCTAGCCTCCTGCTTCTTTCACAGTCTTAACATTACCATGTGTAGCAGGCACTTTTAGTTTACAACCCAGTTAGTAACATATGAAATCCAACGCATACCACCCGTGCCAAAATAACGCTCAGCACACATGTTTCTCAGGTAAATACTTTTCAGAGCTGCTCTGCTGTGAGGGATCCTACACATAGCCCTGCTGTGCCCTGCCTCCCGTCAGAGATGCTTTTGCAGAAAGACTCCTACATCAAGACCTGCAAAACCACCTGCCAGTTAACATAGACCATTTAGCTACTCTCTGCTTCAAGACAGCTGTACAGAAATACTTGGTTTAAGTTCTTTTAGTAGCATTTCTTCCCTTCCTTCTCCTCACAGCGTTTTCAGAAAGGAAGATTCAGATTAGAGACACCAAATCCAAGATCAACAGGTCATCTCTCCAAACAACGTGCAGTTACTGTGAGGAATTTGCTACTACAATGTTTGCAGGTTTGTAACACTTAAGACTATCGTGCCCCAACTCAACCCACCTTCACATTTCACCCAGCTATCCTGCACGGAGCCCGGTAAATTGTGTTCACTCCTAAGACTTCCAGAAAAGCCTCCAGCCAGGATAAGACAACATCAGGAGACGAGCAATCCCTCACAGTCTGAGGTAGGCACCAGACAGCTGCTCCAAGAGATGCTTCAGTTTCTATTTGAGCTTGCCTGGCTACAGCTTGAACCTCTGGCTTCAGCCATACCCACGGCTGCTAGACTAAAGCAGCACTGTGCTACCATCTCTCCTCTTGACAGCAAGGTGGTGATTGGAGCCTATACACACCATGAGGGCACATCCACAGGGAAAACCAGTCAGAAGCACTTGGCAGGCTATGGGCTGTAAGACAATCCAGTGCTATTGTTAACAGGGGTCAAAATAAAACCAAGAAGCAAAAACTTTCTTAGAAAGGCTACAAAATCCTTGTGATTCAGGTCACGAAACAGCCCTGAAATAACATAATCTGGGAAACACTGCCCCTCTAGGGAAAGCATTAGCTGCCAGCTGCAGGGCTTCCCATGGTCTTGTCCATGGCAACATCTCCAGCAGGATGCAGGACATGCCTGGCTTCTCACCTGAACTGGTGTGCTCTGCTGACTGGTGCTCCCAGCAGCTTTGCACCTTTAAGAATCAGAGATGCACCAGCTCAAAGAACAGCCTGGGAACAGAGCCTGCAGCTCAAAAAACATACTGAGCATTAACCATTTATCTGTTCAGGTGCATCAGAAAACTGTTTGTGTAGTTTTCCATTGTGGATTCTTCTTACCACCACTGCTTCTGTAACAGCATTTCCTGGGTTTCAATGCAGGTGTTTTGGGCACCAAGCCTTACCCTTCATAACAGCTCTGCAGTTGGAATTATGCCAGCGGAGCTCAATAAAAATTCAGTCTTTTGGTGCTCGACTCTGCAGAGAAGTACAGTTACACTGCTGTACAGAGGAACTTACGTCTCATTCACCTGCAAGAAACCCTTCTAACAAACAAATACTTCCTCGCTCGAATGGCTTAGTTTGTGATGACTCACAGAAACAGAAGACACAAGGAAGGTCAAGACTGAAGAACTGTTTGGTTTTGCCTACTGACCATATCACTTTCCTCAAGAGTGTCTTTTAAATTAAAGGCATCTTGTAAGATGCCTCCTTTCAAATCAGTCTATCTAATCCATGGAAACTACTTCCATCACGATAAAGCTCGTTCTTCTGTTAGACCAATTCTGGTAAGTTCAAACCACTAGCATGTTCATACTGCATACAGAACTGGTCTTTCTGCTTCTTCAGTGCCAACAGTGCCGTGAGTTGTGCGGTGCCTTAAAGACAGGCCCCAACCGTAACCAACCACTGCCAGCTGGCAGGCAGCGGCGCAGGAAGCAGAGAAGAGAAAGGGCACTTGCCAGCACGAGGCTTGCCACCTTTGGAGTGCTGACATGCAGCCCCCCAGACACACCACATCCTAAGCTAAGCAGCACTCCCCTCTAACAGACCTGTAGCTGCCCCCTCGTAGCAGATCTTATCACTGTGCAGCAACAAAAGAACACTGAGAGGAACGATATCTGCTGCTTCTGCAGCAACCTCCCGGGGTGGCCAGGGGACAGATGCACAAAGGATGCAGAAGGCCGTCTGCAAGCTCTGGGCCCCACAACTAGGGACAGATAGGGAGTGGTAAGAGGAGGCCACTTGAACCCGACTGAAGCCGTTAAGGCAAAGCAAGGCTCAGAGTCATGTCCTAGCTATGTCCTTGCCCAAGCCAGCCCCCACTGCAGTTGGGGACAGTGCAATTCCACACCGGTCCTTGGGCAGCTAGGCTTTTGCCTCCATTCACGGCACAGGAAAACAAACGTCCCCTTCAATCCAAAAAGTCCACCTTTTTGATCATACTATGCACCAGGGTATTGCTAATATTTATGTTTACTCCCTTTAAAAGCAGGTGTTTCTGCTGAGGGACATAGCAGCACCTAGGCTTTAAGTTCATTAGTAACTTAGAGCTAGAAGTCTGCTTCTCTCCCCTTTTTAGAAATATTCTGGGGACAGCCTGCTCCTTTGCAGGACTCCTGTCTTCCTACACGTCAGCAGTTACAGCTCCTCTGTCAGGCTGCAGAAGCAGGGTCAGGCACTGCTCTGGGGAAAGGAAGTCTCTTCTCTGTGCTGCTTAGGAGGTGATGTTAAAGCAGACACAGAAGGCTTGCTGCAGGAGAAGCTCTAGGGAGTGTGGCCTGCAATTACCTGGCAGGTAACCAGGACCTCTATGCTACCAGGACAGTGAACTTTCCCTGGAAAATCCTACTGCTGCCACTGGCTAGCAGAGAACCTACTCAGACTTCTACCACCTCCTCAGCCTCCAGCACTGTCAACATTAAAAAGGCTCAATCATACCCAGAAATGCTTCCCCTACTCACTGCTGGATTCTCTTTTACACTGGTTCCTACCCAAAAACTGCTTTCTGCTCTCTTCAGCTTCCCTCCAGCCCTCCTTGCCACCAGAGGTGGGCCACTCTGGCAAGACTATGGAATCTTTATGAATATAATTCTGCCCTTCTCCTGGAAACTCACCTTCCTTCCCAGACAGTATGTAGGACATGACACATTACCTCATCTCTGCTAATAAGTTCATTGGAGAAAGTCAGTCCAGGCATCAGGCCCCTCTTCTTTAGCCAAAATATAGCAGCAAAGGAACCCGAAAAGAAGATGCCTTCAACTGCAGCAAAGGCAACCACTCTCTCACCTGTTTAACATAACACATTTTCAGTTAGACACAAAACAGTGTATTGCTTGTCAGCAAGACGCACCATTTGCATCAGACAGACCGATGCTGGAGAGAAGCAATCCCCTTTCCAGCACCAGGTGTCGTATCTGACCACATCTTTCAGCAGATCTGGAGGCATAGGGGTTCTACACGTGCAACCGCACTTAACCACAGGTAACCCCAGCAGAACTGAAGAACCAGGGCATCTACTGAAACTGCCATGGGTCAAAAGGGAAAGAATGTAACTGTACAAAGTAGCCAAGACATTAGTACTCCTTTATCTCTTTTCCCTAAAAGGCAGGAAAGCAGCTGTGTAACTAATAGACAAAACAGAGAGAAGAACAAATCTCCTATAAATTAAACAAAAACCCCCTACACTTCAATTTCTGCTTGTTGAGAATCTACATAAAATCATATCTTTACAAGAGTGGAAGAACACAGAATGTAATTCATCAAGACACAACAGTTTATGTTATCCCACCTGTTATCCCACATTTCATCCACAGAAAGCACAGCATTATTGGTCCCAGTTCTCCCTGTTCTCTACAGGAATGTACTTCCTCAGACTACAAGACCACCTGACTGCTTGGTGAAGACACGTCATTCCATGTATTCTAGTTTAAACAGCTTCGAAAGAGCCTTAAGTATATTCTAACATGAGGAGCTTTTGCATTAAGTGCTGGTGCCTCTTCCCAGGGAGAACTGCATAAAATTTTTTTTAAATAACAAAATAACCCCCAAACAGCCAGGTGTCTCACTTCCTCTCAAGATGCAAATGCCATCTGCTGGTGCATCTGAAGAAATTCAAGTTAGGAAAAAAGCATGAAAAGCAACATGAACTTACAGGTATCACAGAAGTTACTAAGGAAAGAATTTGTCTGACAACACTAAAAATTTCCTAGGTTACTTCTAGAGAGGAGTGGAGGAAGGCTGCTGATACAATACAAGTTTAATGAAGACTGAATGCCGATAAAATTTTTACTACATTCCACCTGACTATCACACAAATGAGTTATGCTGAAACAAAAATTGCCCATCAACAGCACCACAAAACATAAGCGCACGCTGGGAGGCTGAGAGTCCACAGAACAGATACAGCAACCAACCAAGAAATCAACCCAAGCTGCAGAGATCTGGTTGCAGGCCAGGTCCCCAAGCTGGAAAGAAACACCAAGCAAACAAGCCAGCCAGCCAGCCACCTTCACATATCATATCTCATAATCCATAACTGTAAGTCCTGGACTCCCCAAATGTTTTAAACTTCAGAAGTTTTCTCAATAAGATGAAAAAACAGAAGAGTAGAAATGTACTTTACAAAAATTTGGACAGGGCGCGTGAAGTTTGGAGGCAGGGGGTGGGGAGAACATTGCTTTTTGAGTTAGGGAACCTTCTGATTTCTGACACACCCCAGGCTGCTGGGAGCTGAATGAAGGAGATGAAGGGACTCCACACGCAGCAAGCAAAGCCAGACTGGAGAGACAGCACGATGCTCCAGGACAGGAGAATCTCCAGCTACAAGAACCACCCCACTCAAACAAGAGCTGTGAGCAACAGAAGCTGCAAAAGAACACTATTAAGGTTTGTTTTGTTCGCCTGTCTGAATCTCTCCATCTACACTTTCTCTAAGTATAGAGGATGTTTGGTTTAGAAAATTCACCAGAGTCTGCCCATTATTCATTTCAGCTACAACACATCCTTCAGAGTCAACATAGTAAGCTGAACGCAGAACACTGGAAAGGATGCCCTGCACCATGCTGATGGACGCTGAGCCAGCATCCCAGCTCTGAAATGAGATACAAAAACTAGAAACCTGGTCCCAGCAGCAAACCAGAAACATCAGAGATAGATGATTCTTGGCTCTTTTTTGCCCAAGCTCAGTCATGGTGTTACAAAAAAAGGCTAACGTCACACAAGGATTTGTCTATATCAACGTGAACACAGAAAAAGCCTGGACTTGCAAGACTTCAGCTGCCCAGTTCAGAGAGTACAAAATAGGAGCTAACTGGAAGAAATAATCAGAACTCCTAGAAAACAAAGTCTACAAGCAAAAACTGAAGAAACTAGGGTTGTTTGGTATAAAGACAAAAAGAGACAGAGAAACCCACAAGCGTTTTTCCTAACATGATTCTAGTGGGCACTGCCATTACTGTATTGCTTTAGCTGAAGACAAAAACATACATGCTCACTAGAAGTTACTTCTAGTCCTTTAGTTAAACCAGAGACCCACAAGCCACAACATCATCTGGGGAGAATTTCATTTCATGTTCCAGGGATGCAGCTCACTCCCAGAGGATTAGTTTGTGACATGTGCAATAGAAACTAGTTTTTAAGAAGCTACGCACCAAAAGTGGATTCTCTGTCTTCAACCCACTTCAGAGCCCAGTCTGCTTTCTTCTTGACACAAGGCATTGTTTCAATAGCATTAAATAAGAAATCCCTACAGCAGAAAACAAAGAGAAAACATCAAAATAAGTCATTTATGTAAATCTGCCCTGGTTCAAGCAAGACAGCAGCCACTTCCTACCCACCGAGCTAAACCTCATCTTGTCCAGCTCCACAAAAGGGACAATTCCCACGATCACAAGCTCTGTTCCCATGCTAAACACCTAAAGAAAACCTTGCAGGCCCCCCACTATCCCCACACAGGATGTCACTGTGGGAAACTAAGCTCTGCCTGACCATCACCATGGTGGAGTCTCTGAGGGAAAAGTGCCTCTTTTCAAATGTATTACCATTTAGACTAGGAAGTCCTCCAACACACAAAGGTGATGGGGCTCTCCAAAGAACCCGATACTTTAAAAGTAAGCAGTTCAAGTTGTATGAAAAAGCACCCACAACAAAAAAGCTGAAAGGATGCAATACATTGATTAGCATATGCTAGAAACACCAGCTGGATCAGGAGCACTCAATTTCCCAAGGCAGATCCTTTGCTGATGTGAGAGCAAGCACCTCAGGAGCACAATGACCTTTTAACAACATTTCACACAGTCCACGCTTCCTGCAATCAAAGACTTATACAAATATTAACAAACATTCTGACACTCCCACACAAGTCTGTTGGTCAGTAATACTTCTCTCCATTTTGGGGGTCAGGCATGCAGGCCTTGAAAGCCTTAAGGAACCATCCCCAACTCCCCCAGTAAGTCAGTACGAAACAGAAGACAGCTGCTGCTGCCCAACAACGGTGACACTGGACTAGGCAACAGATTTCCCATGGGTCTCTAACACATCCAGAGGTATACCTTTTCTCAGGATCTTTGATGTAGGTGTCTATGAGCAAGCTGTACATCTCTGAGTGAACGTTTTCAATGAGAATCTGAAAGCCATAGAAACAACGAGCTTCTGGGATCTGTACCTCCTGACTGAAACGCGCCACCTACGAAAACCAGAAAGTACGGCAATAAGTACAGCAAAACCAGTCCTGCATGACAGTACTCTGCGCTTAAGGGGAGAGACAATAGATCTCTACGACAGAGAAAGGATGGGAGCAGTTCAGCCCTACTTTATTCACAGATAGGTCAACAGGACAGGTGTGGTGCAGAAGAAAATAAAGCAAGCTGGCTAGAAGTACGTCTGCTGTGCGTATTAGATAGAGAGCTGCAGCGAAGGATGAGGGTGCAAGTACACAGGAGGGGAACAGCAAAATGTTGTTAGTAAACTCTTCATATTGAACAAAGCCTCAGACTTTTTGTTCATCACTGAAAAATATAAACAGTATGACATAAGATGTGTTCATGCAACGTATGCACACATACTATGACAGTCTACACATTATAGACATTCAAGATCTAAACTGGGCATTTGCAGTCAGATACCAGTGATAACCTGTGGTGAGACATTCTGCAGTCCAGAACTGATTCCAGCAGGAAGATTTCCCCACCTTTTTAGCAGCACCCACCTGCAGCCCTAAAAGATTCTAGGATACCATTCAGTGAGAGTAAAATGGATTTTACCAAAATGAAGAATACAGAGCATGGCACAGCACAATCCCTCCCTACTCTCATTTAACACAAGCACGGGAAGAAGCATGGGGATTCATTGAGAAATGCAGATCAACATAGCCAGGCAGAAGGCTGAACTTAAAAACTGTGTCCAAGAGTGATGTGATTTGGAGTCTTGCTGACCACAGTTGACCCGATCTAACTCAGACGCTGGACCCAGCATAATAAGCTGCTTACTCCCCTTGGCAAAGGTGAGATGATGGGAAGAAAAAAAAAGTACACATTTAATAAACTTATGCATTAATGTGAGAAAACCAAAATGAAAAGCAAATAAGCCAACAAAAGGAGTAAAGATTCAAGCCCTCTGTAAAGCTTTCTCACCAGGTTTTCATTTACAATTCCATCACTGGCTGCAAAAAATGCTAGAATATGAGAGATGAAGTATTTTTCATCTGTTTTCAGCTTGTTCCAGTGAGGAAGGTCCTTTGACAAATCAACCTAATGAAAACAAAAAAGAAAAACATTATTGCCCTTTTGAGTTTGTCATTCTGTAAGAACAGAAGCAGCCTAGTCAAATGACTGAGGCAGAGTTTTGGTGTTTGCTCTCAAACCTTTACATGTAGAGAATTTAAATACATGTGACCAAAAGACAGCAGACACTGCAGTTCTGCTGTCTCCCTCTGCAACAGTAACACCACGTGTTTGCTTCACAGTTTACACTTTTGTAATTTGGCATAAAAATCATTGTCTATTGAATTACAAATAAATCAAGACTTTGGAAAGCATTACTATCTTCTTGTCATGAGTATGAACATGCACCGATAAGCAGAGCTCACTCTGAGACACTTAAACTCTACTTGAAATAAACGCTGATACTCCAAGGAACCTCTACCCAGGTGTGCCAAAAGATGGACTGAGGGGCCTTTTGCCTTTGGCAGGTGTTCAGCCTCCACCCCGCCAAAGAATGGCATGGGGCGAACGCCGTGCAACTGCTCTTGTCTACCAGACTGAACTCTAGCCACAGTAGAAAACCACAGCTTCCTTCGCCCAGACTTTGCTTGTTTGTTTGTTTGTTTGTTTGAAGGGAGGGATTTCTGAACCACAGCGGCAGTTAAGCAGGGCTAGATGCGAAAAACAGAGGAGCCTAAAAACTTACACGTGTGTATGTGTGTGTGTGTATATAAACATGTACGCGTATACACACACAAACCAATTTTACAGTTAACTTTCCAGTTCATTTGGAAATGCACCAACAAATGGTACGACAGCGTGTGAAGGAGC